TTCTTCTGGGCTCAGCAGAAGCACCAGGATCAGTGCCACTTTCCAGCTGATTGGTGCTTCTTCAGGGCTGAGCAGAAGCACCAGGATCAGCACCGAGCTCCAGCTGGAGCCTGACGCTGATCCTGGTGTTTCCACTGAGCCCTGACAGCCCCGAAGAAGTGCCAATCAACTGGAAAGCGGCACTGATCCTGGCGCTTCCGCTGAGCCCTGACAGCCCTGCAGCTCCAGCCATCTCTCACTCAGACTTGTGCAGTGCTGCCACTGGTTTAGCTCATTCCCCTCCCCTGCTACCACTTTTCTAGGATGGCCACGTTCCACTTGCCAGGTACCAATGTACCACAGTGGTACCCGTACCATTGGTTGAAAAGCCCTGCTTTAAGTGATGCTCTTATCTGTTTCCTTTCTAAGCATTATACAGGAAAATTGAGGATTTTTGTAGGTTTTATAGCTTCTGTACAACACTGGAAATATTTCTCTCTCCCCCCCGCCCCCAGAAATGGCCTTATCCAGTATTAAGTCCATCTTATGATCTTTTTATTCTGAAGTCTGTACTAAATCATCAATTTAAAACCTAACACAGTTAAATGCATACATTTAATTTAAAGACATATTGCATTGAGGAGGTCACAATCCCAAAATTTTTAGTGCTGTTCATTTTCCATTCATTTTTGCTTCCACCGCCATTTTTCTCTTGTCTGTTTTTCTTCTTTCCTTTAAAACCTGGCTATTGTATTTTTTGTGACTATGCAAAAGTTATTTATTTAGAGATGGTCTGTATGAGTAAGGCTGTTACGTATTTATGTTATGTGTTTCTATACTGCCCGGCTCCCAAGAATCATAAAACTATCCCAAAGAAAACCCCAGCATGACTCCATAAAAATCAGGGTGTCTAGCTGCTTCAGAATAAGAAATTAGACAGAAAGAGAATAAAAAATGGCAGCCCAACTTTGCCATAAAACCCAAAGGGACAAAATATAAAACCAAAATAATCCAATGAAGGCACTTTCCAAAAGCTTATTCGAACAAAATCATATTGAGAATCTTTTAGAAAGCTAGAGAAGATGCCAGGCCTATGCCTGGAGGCAGTGTATTCCACCACATTGAAGCTGTCACTGCTAAGAATTACTTTTGTACACGTATTCAAGATACCATATAAATTCAGTGCCTTCTGAATTGTGAACTTTCAAGAAAGGCAGGAAAGGCCTGGCGCTTGTTCCTCTGGAGGGTAAAAAAAGCAATCTGAAAGACCTCCCTATGTCAAAAAAAAAAAAGGAAATATCTATGAATACTGTATATTCTATGCATAGCAAAGCATTTTTCAAACAATTTCTTTAAGGATACTGATTGTCTTCAGCCTCTTCAAATTCTTAGTTCAGGGACATACAGGAAGTCCTCGACTTACAAGCAAAATTGAGCCCAAAATTTCTGTTATTAAATGAGACATTTGTTAAGTGAATTTTGCCCCATTTTATGACCTTTCTTGCCACAGAATGTTAAGTGAACCACTGCAGTTGTTAAAATAGGAACATGGCTGTTAAGTCAATCTGGCCTCTCCATTTGCTTACCAAAGGTTGCAAAAGGTGAGCACAGACCCCAGGATACTGGAAATATCATAAATATGAGTTGGTTGCCCAGAGTCTGAATTTCGATCGCATGACCGTGGGGAATGCTACAATAGTTGTAAGTATGAAAACCGGTCATAAGTCACTTTTTTCAGTGTCATTGTATCTTCAAACGGTCACTAACGGTTGTAAGTTGAGGACTACCTGTATGTGTGTTATTCAGAAATCAAGAAATGCATACGGTTTTCATGTTACAAGTTAATCATAACCATATTCACCTTTTAAGTGGGAAAACCTGTTTCTGAAGGAATCATTTCAAAGATGGATTTTTGTTTTTTAGAAGCAGTGTCTGCTCATGAGATCCAGTGTGCCATAGTAGTTAAAATGTTGGACTAAAATCTAGGAGATCATGAGTTCTAATCCTCCCTCAAGGAACAAAGCCTGCTGAATGACTTTGGCCCGAAATCTCTTTCTCTCCGTGTCTGTCTCTGTCTCTCTTTCTTTCTCTCTCTCTCCTTCTCTCTGTCTCTCTGTCTGTCTCTGCCTCTCTCTCTCTTTCTCTCTCCTTCTCTCTCTCTGTCTCTCTTTCTCTCTCCTCTCTCTCTGTCTCTTTCTCTTTCTCTCCTTCTCTGTCTCTCTTTCTTTTTCTCTGTCTCTCTCTTTTTCTTTCTCTCTCCTTTTCTGTGTCTCTGTCTCTCTCTCCTTTTCTCTGTCTCTCTTTCTCTTTCTCTCCCTTCTCTCTCTTTGTCTCTCTCTTTCTCTCTTCTTCTTCTCTTTCTCTCTCTCTCTCCCTTTCTCTTTCTCCTCTCTCTCTCTCTGTCTCTCTGTCTTTCTCCTTCTTTCTCTCTCCTTCTCTCTGTGTCTCTCTGTCTCTCTCTTTCTCTTTCTCTCTCTCTCCTTCTCTGTCTTTGTCTTTCTCTCTTTCTCTCTCTGTCTCTCTTTCTCTCTCTCTCTGTCTCTGTCTCTCTTTCTCTGTCCTTCTCTCTCTTTGTCTCTGTCTCTGTCTCTATCTCTTTCTTTTTCTCTCTCCTTCTCTGTCTCTGTCTCTGTCTCTGTCTCTCTCTCCCTAAACCACTTCACAGGGTTGCTCTTGTGGGAGAAATGCAGGGGGGGGGGAGAAGCATTATGTATGCCACCTTGAGTTGCAGAAAATAAAGATAGGGTGTAAATATAACAATAAATATGGAAAATAAATGTGCACATTGCATTCTCAATAATTATTTATTGATTGATTTCATTTAGGTAACACCCAACTCCCAGAATGACTCTGGGTGGCTCACAATGCACCAAACAAGCTTTTAAAAAAATAACAAGATAGATTAAAAAAAAAAAAAAAAAAACACAAAATGATGAATCCAGTTAACAACAGAAAATCATATACAAACACACAAAACAAGGAACTCCAGCCACTCTAACCCCAAACTTGGGAGAACAGACAGGTTTTATTTTCAGGCCAACAAAAATACATATTTGTATGGCTTAACAAAGACTTTCAGTAAAAGGTAACTATATTCCTGCTGAAGTACTTTTTTTCTGTTTCAAAAGGCTTTTGAGGGCCAAGTAGTAGCCATTCTCATATGTAACATACCGTTCGGCCTTGAGCTGGAAATGGATTACCTGGTTCTGTCAGGTCTGAGGGCTGCTGAAAGTGGTTCAAGAAATCTTACATAATGAAGGATCCTGACACAAAAGCTTCTTAGGCTGTCTTTCAACTTATCATGGAACAGCCAAATGCTCAAGAGTCTGTGAAGAAAGAAGAGGCCGTGTTTATGGAGATTAGCTACATTCCCAGGTACAAATACTTCAAGGAGAAGGCAAACTTTCCTTCCCTTATGCTCTGCATGAGTCATCTGAAATGCCACCATTGAAAAATCACCTTGGCTAAAAAAAAAAAAAAAAAAGTCCCATAAAAATCATGAACCTCTCAAGAAAGCAAGCCATCTTGTTTTTTTATTCCTGCCAAGTAAACACAACTATGTGTCAGCTAGAAATTCAGCAGGTTTAGTGTTTCCTAAATGCTTTGAGCTAAGCAGGTGAACTGTTAACCCAGAATATCCTTGTTGTTCTTCGTTCGCAGCCGTTTCTCTCCAGTACAAATATTGTTATGAGTTCTATAATCGTTTTCACACTCATCTTAAATCAAAACGCAAGGCGGGTCTTTATTGATCACAGCAATTCTGAAAATCCCAATGGCTGAAGTCAGCTGATGCCACGAGCAAATGAAGTCCCACCTCAATTTATGTTGGCTTTTCCTATAAAAATGGCGCCATTAACTCCTGCAGTGTCAAAGCTAGGATTCATTTCCAAGTGGCAACATTTACCTGGCTGGCCTTGATCTTTCAATCCAAAATCGGAAGGGATACATACATAACCCCTCTTTCTGTGATGACAGGACTAGTGGGATTCCTCTGGACTTGCAGAACAAGAAGCTTTGGTCAGAGCTTGGATGGGACCATCAGGGCTGAAAACCAGATGTACAATACCATCACCAAGAATAGAGTTCGTGGCTTGTGAGAGATTGCACTTTGACCACAATTCTTATAATCCTTTTTTGGGGGGGGGGGAGAGGGAATGCCGACAAGTCATTGTTGACTCCTGGTAGTTTATTCAGAAATAGTTTGCCCTTGTCTTTTTCCTTGGGCTGAGAAGAAGTGACTGGCCCAAGCTCACCCAGCTGGCTTTGTGCCTAAGGCAGGACTAAAACTCACAGTTTCCCAGTTTCTAGCCTGATGTCTTAATCATTACTTATCCAAATGGCTGTCTTAATGTCACAGGATCCAATCTGGGTCAGTCACTGGGACCAGAGGTTTAGTCTTCTGAACTTTCAGACCCATCACACATCAGAATGCGTGACGAGCCAGAAGTAACCTGAGGATGGGCTCGGAGGTTCCTGTGATCGACCCAGATTGGATCCTGCAACATTATCCTGCAATGGGTATATTTGCCTTTTCTTAATGATCTTTACAACATAGAAAACATGGTTTCATGGAGATACATCCCTTACTTGAATATAAACAATTTAAAAAGTGGTATTCTAACCTACCTGGGAGGGCTACTCACTAAATAATGAAAAATAATTCTGCTGACCACACGGTTTCTGAAAGGAAGGGGATACCTTCTAGCTAGGCCTGGGCATAAAGGTGGGTTTATCAACTCGAACGGGTCTACTTGCGATGCAGGAGTCCATTTAACAAAACACAATTGAAAGGAATAATCGAGGAGGCCTGGAGAAGGAAATCCCACAGCTCAAAAAACACTTTCCGGGTCTCTTTTAAACGCCAACAATAAAACTTCTGCCGTGCCGGGGCGGGTCTGCCTGCCTTTCTCCTCCTCCTCTCCGTTCCTCCCCGACAGGTTGTCCCTCCGATCCTGTTCCTGGGACTCCGCCAGGTACCGGCCTCGCTCAGCAGCCAGATGTTGCAACCGCCACCCCCCCCACCCCCCCGCTTCGGACTCATCCGTCTCCGGACCAGACTGGAGCTGGCCTTCAGCAGCCGGGCAGAGGGGAGGAGGACGAGGACGAAGGAGAGAAAGAGGAGGAGGAGGAGGAGGACGACGACGACGAGAACCGTCCCTTCGGGGATGCGCTGCTGAGACTGAGCCAGTCCGGCGATGGGGATGCTGCTGCCCGGAGACCGCGGCTTTTTCCCGGGACTCTGGGCTGCGCTCCTTCGCAGAATACGCGGGGAGAAATCCTGGGCCAGAAAACTTGACGAAACCAACTTGTTGCAACAGAAGAGGTGGGTCCAACCTAGCACATTTCAGATCCCGAAGGCAGGTCGGGGAGGGAGACGGACCGCGAGTTACCGAGCTTAATGGGAAAGGAGAGTTCCTGGGTGCAGATGCAGAGAGAAGGTCGTCGAAACTCATCTAGCAAGGGTGTGTGCGTGCGTGTGTGTGTGTGGGCGCGCACACAATTTTTACTAGCTTCTACCTTGGTTTTAGGAGAAAGGACCGGTCACGTATCCGAGTTATACCTGGAAGGGGGAAAAAAACCCCACTTTTAAACCCTTTTTCCCCCATTGGGAGCAGGGTAAATGCCTGGGCAGAAGAGAAGCCGTAACCAGATCCCAGCAAGTCCAGCTTGAATGCACCTGCTGCCTGAAAGGCAGACAAGGCTGTATTCTGTGCCACCGGCACCCAAGCACACAGTTGGAGCCTCTTTTCTGAACTCTGTGGTGGGACACAGACAGAAGAGGGCAGTCACAAGAGTGTGGAAAATAAAAAGTCTTTCTTTCTATGTTTTGTGTGTTGTTCACAGTCTCGGCTTGTCAGGAAAGAATATGTTGATGACCCAATTTAATCACAGCTTCTTAAGGGTTTTTTCTTCTCTTCGAAGCTGCCATGTGGGGATTAATTACTGTCTGGCAATGCTGCTAAGCATGTGTGGTGTACCTTTGTCATGCTTCTGAGCAAAAGAGCTAGCAGCATTTATTCCTCTCAGATTTGGGAGAGAAAGCTAGAGGTACATAGCTTAACAAGGAGTTGAAGGCAGGACCTTTGGAGAAATTGAGCCCTGCTGATTCTCCAATAAAAGGACCATCTTTTCCAGATTTGTTTGTTTGTTTGCATTTGTGGCTCACGTTGGAGGAGCAAGTGGTAGTTGTGATTGGGAGGGCTTTTGCCAACTTAATCTTGCATGCCAGTTGTGTTCTTGTTGTGGACTGAGAGGGCTTAGTCAACTCCCAAATAGATTACTGCAATGCGCAACATGGGACTGTCCTTGGAGAATATCCAGAAAGTCCAAAGCATGGACTTATGGATGCATCCTGATATACTCCACTATTCATGTGCTGCACCAGCTCCTAGTGTGCTTCCAGATGGAATTCAGGGTGCTGGCCGTCACCTATAAAGCCCTTCATACCACTGAGCTATTCATGGGACAGTCAGTTTCCCCAGAATTTCTACCTAAAGAATGATCAGATAAGGAAGGCCCACAACTGTATAACAGGAAGAGAAAGAAACTCAGAAAAGAATCTCCCTAACTTATCAGGCTGTAAAAGAGGCAGTGAGAGATTTGTACTGTTAGACTTGTAAGATTATATTATTGCAAGATAAAATAGAATTAGCTCATCTGGTCATTTTCCTGTCTGGTCTACCTGGAAAGGCCAACACTGACTTTGTTAAGCAGGATTGAGCTTGATGAATATTTGGATTGGAACCCACTGGAGAATTCCATGACTTTGGGTAAGACTGGGAAATAAGGATATTCTGGAAGAGGGCAATGGTAAAGGTTGAACATTTTAAAGGTTCAAAAAGGTAAATATTTCCCCCTCAGTTGTATCTGACTGTAAGGCACAGTGCTCATCTTCATTTCTTGGCTGAGGAGCCAGTGTTGTCCAAAGACAATTTCTGTGGTCATGTGGCCAGCATGGCTATATGTGAAAGGCACGTGGAACTCTGTTACCTTCCCACCTAAGTGGTACCTATTAATCTACTCACATCTGCATACTTTCAAACTGCTTGGTGGGCAAACTACCGCCATAGAATTCCATGAAATCTGCATGGATGAGTTTGTCTGTCTTTGCCTTTCCTTTAAAAGGACCCTCAGGAGGATACATAATGAAATACAGGATTGAACATCTTTCTTGGTTGGCTTGATAGTATTAATGAAGGTGCAGAATGTGGCTTTGAGATGTTACACCACTGCCCTTTCTTTGGGATATGGTTGCAAATTAGGAGAAAGAATGGATTGAGGGGCACTTTTCTACAAACCCGTTGGTGTAAATCAAAATACATATTGTGGGCTTTTTGATGTTTAAATGTGTCTAGCTTTGCAGAACACTACTAGAATCTGCCAGTGGTCTCAATATGGAACCATATTGTTTATCCTACCTATACTGGTACTTGTATTTGGTCCAGACTAGGACTGTCAAAGTGACGCAGACTGGTGAGGTCATCAATTTTTGGGGTGATATAAGTATGAAGAGCTTTTAGTCTCTCAGAGTGAATTCGGGAGACAAGTGAGATGCTGGGAGTGTCATAGGCAATGATTGCTGAACATTTCCTTGGATTGCCTACTCAAAGAATGGGACAGACACATTTGGTGAAGCATGCAAACCAGCATTTTGCATTTCCTGCATCAGATGAGGAGAGCACATCTTTCTCCTTCTGTCCTGGCCACTTTTTACAGAGGCACAATTGAGAGCATTTTAACAAACTGCGTCACTGTTTGGTTTGGTGGGAGCAGTGCCTCAGATACCATACGGATAGTGGTAAGGACAACTGAGAAGATTATAGGAAGCGCACTTCCCATTATTCAGGATACTGCTTATAAGCGTTATGTGCTTAGCATTGTTAGAGACCCCACACACCCACTTCATGTTCTGTTTCTGTTGCTCCCTCTGGGTGGAGGTTTCAAAGTGTTTATAGCAGAACTACTAGATTCTGTAACAGCTTTGTTCCTTATGCCGTCTGTCTTATAAATTCTCAGGGTTCTTTTTTTCCCACCACGTATATGTATAGATTAAAACTAGACTGTGATCTTTTTCTGTGTCATATATGTGTGTATGTGAGTATATGCATAATGGTATTTTTTCTGAGAGCTGAATGCAATGAAATTTCATTTTAATGTATGTTGACTAGTCTACATTTAAAGTGACAATAAAGTATTCTATTCTATTCTATTCTATTCTATTCTATTCTATTCTATTCTATTCTATTCTATTCTATTCTATTCTACTCAATACATCATAATATATTTTGGGGCAGCACTTTGTTTTGTACAATGTTTGGAATATGCCCTCTTAAAATAACACAAGGAGTCTTGAGAATTGATACTAGGCTCTTTCCCATCATTTAGCACTGAGAATTTCATTCTTTTTTATTTTTAGTGCCATCGTATTATCATGTAAGCTGCCTTTCTTTAACCTCCTTTCATTTCTCTGTTGCTTACAATAGATGCCAGGATCCAAATTAATACTGCCGTAGATTCTGTTCTGTAGGGACAGATGGGAAAAGCAGATTGGTTACCTTATTGCAATTTATGATTTTCTATTTGTACCATGAACAGAGCAAGAGCTTTCTTGATGCTTTTTTTTTTTTGCATGAACCATAAGATATCAGTGCTTTAACAGTGAAAACAAGTTAGATGTTTCTAATCATCTATTTCCATTTCTTATAGTCTTATATTATAGTCTGCCAAGGAACCCCATCTTCTCATTTCCTCCAAAATACTGAATGAAATATTTCCTGCACCACTAAGCTACACGTTCTTGCCTCTGGAAACAAAACACCTTTCATTAAATAGTCATGGGAACATCCCTCAATTATTTATCACTGCTCTATGATAGTCTGTGGTGCATCCATTCATTCCGAGCGTGGTTTCAGGTAGGCGGAGAAGCAATTGCACACACTTCAGTGAGAGTAACTGAAGTGATGAAGGGTGGAGATACGGTGCAGAAGAAAGACCGAAACAGAATCTCTGTAAGGAGAGTTGTGTTTCTGATATCTTGTGGGGCACTGCAAGAGATGTGAAGAAATGAATAATAGACTACACAGGGAAGGGACAAAGCCTGGTTGAACAACCATTTTGATCTGTCAGATGATCCATCACATGAGGAGTGAGTATAGTGCTCACTCTTGAGGTAATTTTCCTCCACTTGAGAACATGAAGTATCCTAAGGCCTACTTAAACATTTTTATTCGATCCATGATTTCTACTTTATAACTTTTGTGTTTCTTCCTTCCTAAGATGAAGTTACATTTGCTTGGGGATTCTTCCATTCATTGGCTTGCCAAACTGTTTAAACTGAAAAGCCATGATTGTTCCAAAATCACTCTTTGACTTTTCCTTTGGAAATTTGAACCCAGATGATTCTCGTCCTGTTCCCACTGCTATGTAGGCTGGCATATAGAATCAGTATTTTATCCTTAGCATCCTTTTAAAGTCAAGATTTGGGTGCAGTTGCTCTGCTTTCATTGCTAAAGCCCTCTAACACAGGGCTCTCCAAACTTGGCAACTTTAAGACTTGTGGACTTCAACGTCCAGAATTCCTCAGCTAGCATAGTTGGCTTTCTGGAAGTTAAAGTCCACAAATCTTAAAGCTGCTCTAGCATAGCCTGATGCCCTCAAACTGTGTGGGATTTTAGTTCCCATACTTCCAGCCCAGTTTAGCTGGATTATCATTTTAACTAATCATGCTGACTATAAACTACGAAAGTTAGAGTCCAAATATCTCTAAAAGGAATCCCGCTGAAGAAGAATCCCACTCTTGGAGAAACTTGTTGTTTCATTAGGATATATGAGGATTTGGGAGGATTAGGAGGCTAAAGATTTGGACAATGATACAAGCATACATTTAGAATGGAAGGTGTTACCTTTTATGTTTAATCATTAATGATCTCATAAATAAGATGATGGCTTGGAATGAGAATATCTTTGGAGTATTGTATTGTGACATTACAATAATAATACTCCTACTTAAAGTTATGGAAGAGTTTAGTTTCACTAACACCCAGGAAGATGTTATTATCAACCCATGATGGATTAAAGTATCTGAAAGAAAATATGGCTAGGCAAGACCAGGTCTTGCTAAATAATTTTCAACTGCTGCCAATATGCTTTACTGGTAATTTTTGCCTCTACAGGAAATATAAATCAAACATTTCTCAAGTAAACAATAGATGATATGTGCCTTAGCCTGAATTCCTGTTATATAAGGCTTCTAAAGATAGTCCTCATTTAACAACTGCCTCATACAAAAACAGTTCAAAGTTACAACAGTGATGAAAAAGTAACTTTTTGACCAACTTGCGCATTTTTTACCTTCACATGTCTGTAAAGCAAAGGAAAGCTAAAATAAAATACTAAGTACAGGCATGGTTTCAGTTAGTGATTGCTTTGGTTAATGACTAAGTTGCTGGTCCCAATTTTGGTTGCTAAGCAAGGACTGTATGTAGTTTCAAGTCTCATGTGGCAATTATTTATTATTACTATTATTATATTTATTTTAATATTTATAGACTGACCACATCTTTGTAGCTCTAGGTAGGATACAGAAAAGTCAAATCAAAATATCAATTAAATATAAATTTATTGTATATTGTACATACTCAATAAAACCATTAAATTAATAGCATCAGTAGGATATCACATATATTTCCAGCATAAGCCTGTTTTCTTTCACCTGTTTTTGAAATGGTGACGAATGAAGATATATGTTGATGACGTTAATATGAAGCATCAATAAACAATTTATAAATATAATCAAAGGCACCCATACAGTAAATAAAGTAAGAACCAAGTGCTTGCTGACATGAAAATGCTTTTGCCTGTTTTAAAAATGCTGGCAGGAGCCATGCATATCTCTGGGGGAGACCGGCAGATATTCTATTAAGGGAGAACCAATTTAGAAAAGGACCACATCCTGGACTTCCTGTTTTGCACGGTAGCAACTGGTTGCGGGCTTGCGGATTCTCCACACCCCCACAGCTAATTTTGCCATGTTAGGGGATCCTAAATGGGTCTAAGTTGCCCCGGTGAGGCGACGAAGAAAGAAGGGTGCTCCAGTGATTCTGGAATGGCGGCGGCTGTTCCGTTCGACTTGGAGAAAGCCTTCTAACCCAACAGGAGAAAGGCTGGCCATATTGCATTGACCAGCCCAAGCTATTTGCAACTGAAGTCCAAAAGCATTAACCAGCACAACTGTGCTTGAAACTGGGTGAGGAATTTGATCTTATCTTTTCTATTTTACATTTAATATCCTGGAAAAGATCCCCAAGCAAAATACCTCCGAAAGGGAATGAGAAAGATTTCCACTCCACCCTTATACTAACAGAAGCGGCGAATTAATTTTTTATGGAAGATCAAAATATATGGAAGTGAAATAAATATAAAACCTGAAACTTAAAATTTAAATCTGGATAAATCTAAAATTGTTTTAATAGTTAAGACTCTCATTTCAGAGATAATTGTTCATTTTGGAAATTGAAAAACAAATAGTTGCTGACACCTAGTGGCAGATGAAGACTATGACAGATATGACTTTAATATAAGACTTGGCAAAATCTGGGAAAGCCTATGTCTGTGACCTTCAAAGCTTTAACAATAAAGAACAGCTGTGACAAAAAAAGACAATAATCTGGGCTGTAGACAGATTTAAAGAGAGAATTATACATTTCAGAAAAAAATATTTTTTGAACTCTTTGGATTACAAATATCTATCTGATTGGGATTCTAAAGCTATTTACAAAGAAAAGAAAGGAAGAGGAAAACTCAAATTCTTGGCCATCATGGATCAGAGACATGTAGAAAGAACATATCAAGAAAACATAAATACGTCACAGGAGGAGATATATAGTATACTGCAACTAATTTAAACAACAATGAATTTAAACCACAAAGAAATCCAAAACAACTTTGAAAATATAAATCAATCTATATATTTCCAAGTTAACTCTATAACAAAAAAATTCCCAGAAACAACAGAGAAGGAGCAAATAAAACAAATAAATGGATATAGAATTGAAAATAGAGGCTTAAAGATGGAACTTAACAAAACAAGGAAACATGATTTAATCCTAGTGGAAAACAGTTCACAAGAATTGGAAGAAACGTATCCCTTAAGACTACAAAATAAATCTGAGGACAAGAAAACAGATTGGATAAAATGGACTTCATAGAGATGTCAGGAACATCGGAGAGAAAGGAAATGATAAGAGAAGCGGAGAGAAAGAAAAAGAAAAAAAATCAACAAACATGGAAAGGCAGAAGACCCGTACAAAGACACTTCTCCTTGATTTACTTTTTATATTTACAGCAACATTTATGAACATACAGAAAAACTTTTTGATTCAGCAAAATACATTGATTAAGAAAGACACTGGGCAAAAGAAAAAGACCAAAGTGGAAACTAAGAAAATAAATGATGGGACTTACCAGAGAGAATACTTAAAAAAGAAACATTTGTTTGAATATGGTTAAAGAAATAGAAAAGTTTTGGAATATATATGTCACTCTAAGAGGGATGGATTCTCCAAATATAATATAGTATGCTTTTTTCCCTTTTTTGTTATCTTTCTTGATATGAATAATATAAAAAAGTTGAAATGACTTAGATAAAGAAAATGTTTTAGATATTTAAATGTGATTGAATTTAAGAAAATTATAATGGATAAAAAATGTTTTGAATAAGAGTTAAAGGACTAGACGACTAGATGTATTAAATGCAATGTTAAAGATTAAACATATTTTTAATTATGGTTAAAAAGAATAAAAAATTTAGGAAATAAATACATATTAGCTTAGGAGGGATATATATTTTAAGTAGTATGTTATTTTTATGCTTCTTTACTCTTGCTTTTCTTTCTTTTTTTCTACTGTTTTATCTATTTCTTAAGAAATGTAAAAGTCTGAGATGGTTCATATGGAAAAATAGAGTTAAATTCTTAAATGTAATTAATTTTTGAGAAAATCTTAACCAATAAGAATATCTAGAATTTGGTGGGAGAAACAAATTAAAATAAGGATTGTAACATGATCTATGATAAGGCAACCAGAATGATTGGATAGAAAAGGAATATTATATTGATATGATTATTATTTTTAGGACTATTGGGAATATATATATTTATATATATATAGGGAATATATATATATATATATATATATATATACACATATATATATGTGTGTGTGTGTGTATGTGTGTATATATATATATATATATGTGTGTGTGTGTGTGTGTGTGTGTGTGTGTGTGTGTGTGTGTGTGTATATATATATATATATATATATATATATATATGAATAAAACACGATCACCGGGAGAGTTGAAGTAAAAATACTTTACTAAAAATATATTAATACTAAAAAGTACCCGGATAGGAGCTGTTAACATGACAAAGGAGGAGAGAGATACACAACTGGGAAGGGATATTAACCCACAGTTAGTGGAGCCCTATCCCCATTGTAAAACACAAGAAAACATCAGATCAA